AAAGCTGGCCTTGAGCTTCATTGCTTCAAAAGACTCGACTTTCGACACCGTAGGATTAGTGAAGGGGAAACCAGGAGGCGTTGGTAAGTGCAATGAGATTGGTGCTGATCACATAAAAAGATGTGTCACTGTGTACCAGACCCGCTTTGGGAAAAATATAAATGTATTTTGGTTTTAAACATCATTAAAAGCATTCCATATCAGAGTATTAAGAGCATTCCATATCAGCACACTTTATTTTGAAGCAAGACTTTACAAGAGCAGGTGTATATTAATGTGGCTGGAGGTCTATTTCTCATACCTTGATGAATTGTCACCTGGTGTCTGTGTGTATTTGTCATGACATGATAGCATATCTGTTGCCAGTGGAGTAAGACATGGTAGACTCCTGACTAGTTCCACCTCCCCTGCTGCTTGAGGTCCTAAAGCTTTACTCATCATATTCTTGCACCTAATCCTAGCCCCTTTTCCTTCTCTGCTGTTAATCCTCGTACCCTCACATTTTTTAATCCTAATGCTTACCTGGTTCTTTGTCATGCCCTTTTTCTCCTTGGCTCATATTTTTTTATACAAGTCCCATTTCATACATCCACACACACACACTTTGACCCTTACTCTTCTTGTCATACTTTGTATTTTTCTTATGACTATTTTTTTTTTTTTCTCCGAGTCCAGCTAGGACAGTCATCCTTGTATTCCAAAATTCAGAAAGCCATCTCTTTGTTACAACAGGTGGAGGCGTGACCGTGAAGTACGCTCACCATTTGATGAACCTGCTGACTGTGCGGAGAGCTCGTCCGAGGCTGCTTGTGGAGGGACCGAAAGGAACGACTTTCCATCCTGACGTGGCTGAGGTAATTGCTTTCAACTTGATTCAGTTTGGTGTATATTTTTTTTCATATGTAGTTTATATATATTTTTAATAGATTTTTTTCTTTATCTTTATTAACATTTTTTTTTTTTTTTTTTTTTTTATAAATATATATTCAAGGAAGCACTAATCCTAAAATGACTGGCAATACATAGAATTATGTTTTTGGGGGGTAAGAGTGAGAAATATTTAATGTGCATATAGTGGATATTTATGTTGAAAACCATTTTCAACAAAGTTCAAGGAAACTATATTATGTTTCTTCTCTGTGTTTGGCCTCTGACATTCATATGTAGCATGAAAATTTGGAAAAGTCTCAACTTTTGAAATTTAAAGTGTCCTAACATTTTTGATCAGATTACATATTTATTTATTGTTTCAGGTTGTGACACGTGTTGATGGCTTGATTTGCTACATGGATGCCTCCTGCAACTGTGAATCAGGTGATGGAGCTTCAAATTGTAGTAGTCAGAATGGCTGCAGGGATGGCATCCACAGCATTGATGTCTTGGAACTGGAGGCAATGATGCGAACCATCCCCCCCGACCTGGCCCCCCCTGTCCTTGTCCTTCTAGCGCACATGGATGACCCAGCCACCCTGGCGCGCGACCTGGATTCGTGTGACGTCCCACCGCACCGCCTAGGGGGCACGACCAAAGATGCAGGTTCCTACCATGACACTGCCACGCAGAAGCGCCACCGTCCCGCCATGTTGTATCCCGTCCTCAGCAAGCTAGATCTACCCTGGGCGGTATGTGGATGTTCCTTGATTGTCTGTTGGTATTGAGGATGTGGGACTGGCTTTGGGTATGACTGTATGGTTTGTGTTGTGTGGTTTGTTTGTAGTTAGTGTTTAAGGTGTGCGTTCATATTGTGGATTATGGATATGGGTTTATGTTGATGGGATTGAAAGCACTCCCTGGTAACTATACTGTAATGGAAATGGATGGTTTTAGGTACTGTAGTAGTAATCTATAGCTGTTATGATATTAATTTGAAGTTGGTTTTATCAGTTTAAATGTCAGATACCAACCTATTTATTCAAGTACACAATTATTGTTTTCAATATCCAAATTAGAACAATTTTATTAGAAGTTTATGCTTAATGGTTAATGGAAGTAAATGTGCTATACATCAAAGGTTATAGCACTAAGGTGAAGTATTGTGATAAAAAGGATAAAAGAGAGTTAACAATTAGGATAAGTGGACAGAAGAAGGGGATGAAGAAGAGAAGGAAATGGAAAGGGGGAGAAGAAGACCTGCAAAATTAGTTGAGGTGAGAGCTGAGGGCCAAGGCACTGGTGATCCCCTCCATTGGGCCTCAGTCTCCATCTCCTAAACCCCCCGCGACAACAACGAGCTAGCGAATGGGGTAGGGGTGGGGGGTTAGTAATCATGTATGAATTTAGGCTAAAGGAGCGTGCCTTTCCTCTCCCATGCAGACAGTAAGCTCCAAACATTGCCATCCTTTTGGGGTACCAGTTGCATTTTTTGTGTTGTGCATGGCCCTTGAATTTCATTTGTAATCATTTTAGGAATGCAATTCTTACACTGTAATGAATGTTATTATTCATTGATTGATTGTATTTAAAAAAAAAATTTGATTTGATATATGATTTGATTTTTTGTTATTGTTATCCATTAATGATTTTTAATCATATTGTTATTAATTTGTTATTATTTATTATTATTAGTGGTTTGTTATTAGTTGTGACTATATACTTCACTTATCATTTTATAATATTCAGTTCTACTATTGCTTTATTGATTAAGTATTAGTAACATTTGATACTATTCAGTTCTTTGTCATTAACCCCTCTTTCTGCTTCAGTTGATTATTAATTAGTAACATTTAATTCTATTCAGTTCATTGTCATTAACCCCTCTTTCTGCTTCAGGTCTGTGAGGTGGAGGTGAAGTCCCTGTCAGGGGTGCACCGAGGCCTCAACTGGCTCCTCAAACGCACGCTCAAGCTGAAAAACGGTTGAAGAAGAGCAGCGCCTGTCTCTCTCGCTCTCTAAATCTATATCTATTTTAAGTGATTATTGTGATAATTTTACCAATGTTTTCTATGAAGAGTGTTCAGTGTCAGTGTGGTCCATATTTTATATGAATGGTTTTATTTTTTTTTGTGATGTGAAAACTTGTGTACGGTGATATTCTTGATATCTGTGAATGACAACGTCTGGTCATGTGAATGTGCAGCTAATATATTTCTTTGTTTTCTTGCTCTGTTATAGAATTCTGACTACATTGTTTTTATAGGATGAAATCATGATTTTAAACTTTCTTCCGACATTTGTGCAAATCCTGCAACTGCTCTATGACAGATCTCCCTGAGGAGGAGTTAAACCTACTCAAAGACGGTTTGCCCTGAACTTTATTATTAATGTGATACTGCATTATTCTTTCCTTTTATGTAATGGTAGAACATTTAACATTATATATAGTCAGTAATTTATAGGAATGATACTTGGCATGAGATTTTCAGGCTTACTTTTTTTCTGGTTTCTGTATAAGGATTTACCTTGAACCCAGTGGCAGTGGATGACATTACATTATGAAGAATAATCACAGATGATGATGGCTGATTATGTTATGAGTTTATGTCCTGACTACTGGGATGAGGCCTTATATGTGCTACCATGTGCTGGACAGTTGCTCAGGCATAGAGTTGCACACAGTGATCAATGTCCACCTTTGGTTGACTTTACTTGATTGTTTTCCTGTTGTTATTAGGAAGATGAAAGTATTGGATTTTTTTTTTTTTTACATATATGAATTCGGATATATACAAACTGAACTTCACATATAGACATTATGAAAAGAAATGAATCGCTTCTAAATGTGGATGAACTTTGAAAATAGATTTTAGGTTGCAGTTTGTATCATCATAATCACTTAAACTCTTTAGGAAAACTGCAAGATGATAGGTGCACTGAAGCTTCTTGTTTTGTGCATAGCTTCTAGTTCAGAAGGCCAGTTTTTATGTTTGTAAGCCACAGCTGATGTGAAGAAGTGCATCCACCCAAACAAGGGAAGCCATGTGAAGACCACAGTCCCAGATGAGTCCTTTTGTACTTTCAGAGACAGAATTAATATCATGTCATCTTGTATAAGTGCAGTGTATTCATGACAGATAGAATGTATTGTGTTTACTTTTAGGAGTAATTTTTATCATTCATATTTATTATTTCAAGACAGTTAATGTTCTGGATATCAGAATATGTGAAAGAAAAGATTCTATATGCTACTTGAATTGCACATGTGTGTGTTGTATTACATGCTGGTAATGTAAAAGCTGCCAGGTCTTCAGTTATGTTGTGTGTTTAGGGAGCCTTTTAGAGGCAAAGACTGCTAAGAAGATACACGTTTGGAAACACAGGAGAAATATCTTATTTAAGCTGTCTATTCCAAGAACCATTGGAAAATAAATTGTCAGTAATACAAAGAAGTGAGTAGGTAACAAATGGATGAATGGAGTGGTAAGGAAAATAAATATTCTGCTAGAAATAATTTAACCAAAACCAAATATCTGGGACTTATTTTTTTCTAGGATTATGGCCATATTTTTATATAATTCTAAAACGCTTGGCGAGGAATGTTCCAAGGATTTTCATACCAAAGGTTAGAAAAATTAGATGTTATAGTATGTTGGAGTAGCACTGGAATGTTCTTTAGCCTTTTTTATAGCTTGTAAATAAGGTTGTCTCTGTGATTTTTCCTTTTCAAGGGTTAAAGACTAAATGCCCTTGCAATAAGGCTAGTAAGGCAGAGAGTGAGCAGGGCAGGCTACCCGCTACTCAAGGCATATATGGTGTAATGTTTGTGCACGTCTTCTGCTTATGAGTGTTTGTATGAGTATGTGTGTATGGGTTTGCACCTAAAATAACCAGATATTATTATTATTATTATTATTTTTTTTTATAAAGGTGTAAAAAAAAAGAAACAGAATTTACAGTCAGTTGGAATTATGTTCTGTTGAATATTAGATCATTATTCAAACTTATGAATAAGACCTTTTCCTTTCATTAGTCAGTTATGGCAGCAAGTAGCCCGACAATGGATTGTTCAGTGTCTGAAACCAACTTTTTCAATCTCTCTGTCTCTTTCTCTGTGCCTCTGTCTTTCCTTTCTTTTGTCCTTCTCCCTTCTCTGTCCTTCCCTCTCCCAAATGCTAGAAAACCTTAAAATGATGACACTGACTAAGTTCAAAGGGGTGCAGCATGCTCCAAGAAAAATTTGCATATGAAACAATGTTTTAATTGTTGTGAAATAAAATTCTTGTCCCGAACCTAGCCATTTTATGATGGCAGTCTTCAGCTGCAACTACTTACATTAATATATAAAAAAAGTTTGATTTATTGTTGATAAATACACAAGATTTTTGTGTAATGTGTTTTAGGAGACCTAAGGAATGTTTTTTTTTTTTTTTTTCCCCCCCTCCCTGTTTCTTACTAGTTTGACTTCAGCCTAACTCGCCAATGGTAAGTTGCAGAGTCGTATATATTGTAGATGTCTGTGTACTTGTACATATGGGTGTGTGTACATATATATTTTTCTAGTTATCATCAACAAACTTGTGATTATCTTTGTGTATGCTTTAAGAAAAGGTGAATTGTCCTTTTTTTGTATGATATTAGTTGGAATTTTTTATTTATTGATTGATTTTGTAACATTTTCTCTTTGTTGTTATTCTCTTTCAAATGATATTTTACTGATTGTAACTAAATTTACTGGCACTTACAGTTTATTAGTGACCAAAAAATAAAGTAACATAAAATTCATATTGATAAGAAAATTATCAAACAGATATGAAACCTGCACGTCCCTCCATCATCATGAGGCTTCAAGAAATTATGTTAACATGTAAATAAAAATGATGAAATAAATATGAAGCCTTCACACCTTATCATTGTAATATGGTTCTTAACATGTAAGTCACATTGATATCAGTGAGTAAAAAAAAGACACCTATCATTATGCTGCTTAATCTGTGTATCATGCAGTATTATGGTGATTTAATGCATTTAAAGGTCATATTGCTAGTCTAGTCTTCACAGTGGTGGATGTGTACCTCTGTGCATGCCTTTTTAGCTACGGATAATTCTGTATTGTTGCCTCAAGAAGTTCCTTTATCATTTGTATCCTGTTGAGATGTTGCTCTGTCACTGCAGTAATGTTCCAATGTATGACTAAATTGGATTTTTTACTGCAGTGGCAGATGAGGATGGGGGCTGTATGCCATGTGTCATAATGATGGGCAACAATATATACAGGTGGAAGGGGTGAAAGCATTATCAAAATACAGAGGATACAGGAACTTTTGAGGAAACCATACTAAGATTTTTATTTGATATTGGTACTTACTGGACAGCAGAGTGAAGAAATGTGAAAAAAAGAATTATGGAAATGCATCAGAGTATAAAAAATATATGTATAACTATAAATTTTTAAGATCATATATATATATATAAAATTTACAGGTTTGATTGAGAAGTGTTTTACTTACCTGATTACCAGAGTCACAGTGAACTGTCATTCTTTCACATGTATCATGGAAAATAACATTGCGCATTAGTGAAATAATGAGAAACCATGTAGTTTAAAGCCAGTGTTCTACATGAACCCTAGATGATCTTTTCATATAAAAATATTTGCCTTTAAAGCTGAAAAAATAAAGGTTTGATTTCCTGAAAGATTATATACTGGTCTCTTAATTCCCTCTGACTTTAACTCACTCTCTCATTTTCTCTCCATTTGTTCATTCAGTGGGGGGGCCCCCCCCACCCCAATCCTGTGCCCATTGTTGTCTACTAATTCTGCATGGTCTTTTCTTCTCCCCCTTTCCTTTTCCTTCTCTTCACTTCCTAAGATATGGGAGGCGTGTTGAAAGGATAAAAGGCTAGCTTTGGGTCAGTCCTGAACAGCTTATGAAGCCATGGGCATAGTATTTCCCAGTTTAGTTATCAAGCCCTTACTCCTTATGAGGACCTTGAGGGGTGAACTATTTTTCTTTCCTACGTACTCTAGGCTTATCATGACCAATAATAAATCTTTACCCTTATTAGGGGTACTGAGGCTTTCCCCATTATCAACTAGCCCCACATTAATGTTTCACAACCACTGGCTCTCCTTTGATCAGGACTCTGTTCACCTGCTATCAGCATTATTGTCCGCCTTCCCGTAGTACTACCTTGCTCAACACCACTCCCTCTTCCTCCCTCCCTTGTCCTTCACCCACTTCCACCTCTAGAAATCTTTTAAGTAATATTTTCAGCCCAGCTAAGTGGGAATCTTTTTTTGTGATTCCTCCTACAGCCCGATACTCTGAGAATACCTTCCTATTCCAAAAATGTCTCCAAAAATGAGTAGGAAATGGTCAGTGGTTACAAAGCAAAATAAATGTGCTACACATCAGTCTTGTAAAACTATAGAAAGGTGTAGTGAAAAGGGCTAAAAGGGGGTTAGTTTATGATTAATTGTGCTACACGTCACAGGGGTAGAGCAGTTCAGGATAGTAAGTTTTCTTCCGTTGCCGTTCCGGTGGTTCACGTCATGTCTCGGTTCCCTCAGAGTCTCAAGCTCGTGCATAATCTACCTTGACTGACCTTACTGGCAAAGTTCCTCCTGCGCAGCCTCACTCCTCCCTCAATACCTGTACTGGAACTGTTTCCATCTACCCTTCTCCCCTAGATGTCTTTGCCTCTCTTCTTCCTACTACTTACGTTCCCACTTTTACCCCCTCCCTCTCCCAGTCACATTCTTTTGCCGTTCTAAATCCAGGCATTCCGATCTCTATTTCCCCGCTACCCACCCCTCGTCCTCCTCCTCGCTCTCGACTCCTCGCATCACAACCAGACATTCCACCCTCTTTCCCATTGCATCCTCTCCTACATCTAATTCTTCCTCTCCCCTCAAACGCCTGGCCTCTCCTTTCCCCCTCATGAGCAGCCAACTCCACTTCAGAAACTCTCGAGGACGTTCATAATGATCAAATCATGACCCAAGATGATTTCCAACGTAAATCTACGTATCCCTTTTCCACCCCCTATCTCTCTGCTCCCATTCCCTGTGCACCAAAGTGACTGCCGACATCCTTTTTTATACGCTTGTTCCCTCGACACCTCTTCCTCCAACATTTTATCATCAACTTATCCACTTCTTTACCCTTTTTCACTACTACACCTTTCTAAAGTATGATCTTTGATGTCTCGCACATTCATTTTGCTTTGTAACGATTAAACAGTAACTATTCTCATTCGGTATGACGTTCCCCTTTTCTTTTTCTTCTTTCTCATTTTTTTCTGTGAATCTTGGAAATTCTCCTCTAGATGATAATTTATGTTTATTTTTTCACTTAGTTTCCTATTTTTCCCTTACGTTTTCTATTTCTCTACTCCCGGTTTCTATTTTTTCGCGTCGTTTTCTTTTCCCTTTCCTCTACTATTTTCCATAGTTCCTCCTCCTGTATTCTCTTCATTTCACCCTTTCGTTTTCTATTTTCACTCCACTTTCAATTCTCTTCCCGTTTTCTATTTTCTCTTTTCCTTTTCCATTTTTTTCTCTTCCTGTTTTCTATTCTTGTTCTCATGTTTTGTACTCTTTTCCTCCGTACTTTGTATTTTCCTCCTGTGTTCTGTTTTTTTCTCTTCCCCTTTTCCCTTTTCCTCCCGTTTTCTATTCATTTCCTACTCCCATTTTCTATTATTTTCTATCCCTTTTTTTTCTTAGAATACCTTCGCATAACCGGTTGCGGCGATTTTGGTACCAATGGATTCCTCTCACTCTCTACTATCCAATTATATCTAAATTATTCCCGATACCAGGGAAGGGCATGGAAGGTAACAGGGAATTTGCGGGGTAAAATATGAAGAATATACACAAAATGAATCACCATATTGTCTCATGCAAGGGCTGTTGCACCTTCCCGCGATGGAAGACAGAAAGTCCTCCTTTATTCACGACAGGGCAGGGCGTGCAACCGACATGCAGAAGCGCCCGATAACGAGTCAAGGTCTATATAAGTACCGATATAGACCTTGTGCCGAGTAAATCAGATGCTGCCCTACAATACCGGTTTTCCTGGCAGGGGGGGGAAGTGCGGGCGGTAGTTTCCCATGGACGGGGTCAGAGGGGGCGCAGGCTCTTACGTTCAGCAGAAAAGTGAGGTATTATGTTCATTGTGTTATTATATTATTGTTAGTTTACCCCGCAATGTCCCTGGTACCTTCCATGCCCTCCCTTGTTATCGAAACCAAAAAAGTTTTTTTTTTTTTTTTTTTACGTTCTACGGCATAATTCCAACGTAAATGTGTAGCAGAGGGCGAGGAGAATCCATCGGCCAGTCTGTAGAAGAGGGTAGTGGGTTACTTTCGAAACAATTTTAATATTTTTCTGCATGAAATTTACTGCTTTCAACGATTCTAGGCATTGTTCCTTGTGCAAATGAATAGTTGAGGAGATATGATCACCATCTCCATCGACAATCTTCATTTGATAGTCCCGATAGCGGGGGGGGGGGGGGGGTATGAAGTATATCAGGAAAATTATGGGGTAAAACAGGAAGCCGAAAACGTGGATGTGCTGGAAGCCAGACTGGTAGAAGCCATAAACCAAGCAGCCTCACTGACCATATCCAGAACTCGGCCCGGGTCCAGGCGTCACAAGGACGCCTGGTACTTTAACGACGAGATCAGGGAGGTCAACCACAGAGTGAACATGTGCCGAAAACTGTTCCGAAGGCAAAGAACCCCCGACAACCTCGCACTGCTGAGGGAGGCTGTCAGGGATGCCAAGGAAACTGCCAGCAGAGTCAGGCAGGAGACATGGTTGGAATGGTGTAAGTCCTTAGATCACCAAACCACCATCTCAGAGCTGTGGCAACGGGTCAGGCGAGCTACCAGCCGCTCAGCCCCGAGACGAACGCACTACGACCCTCAAGCTGAGGCAAACAGACTGGTGCACCAGTTCTCTGAGAGAACAAGCAGCAACAGTCTACCAGCTGAGCTGAGGGCCAAACAAGAAAGCCTGAAAGCAGACAGACTTGCTCAGATCAGAGAAAGGGCAGCCGAAGCCGATAACTCAGACGTTATCTTTTCTCTGAGGGAACTTCGAAAAGCCTACAAGTTGAGTTTCAATACAGCCCCGGGCTCTGATGGGATCACGTATCCCATTATCTCCCGCCTAGGACGAGAAGGTGAACTTGCACTCTTGCAACTCATCAACAAGTCCTGGGAATCTTCCTCTCTACCGCAGAGCTGGAAGAGGGCTACCATAGTTCCCATCCCAAAAGCCAAGGAACCGGGGAATTACCGCCCCATCTCTCTCCTCAGCTGTCTGGCCAAGACGGCCGAGAGGATGGTACTGAACCGGCTCCTGTGGAAAATGGGACCCCCGCACGAACACCTGCACGGGTTCACCAGGGGAATGAGCACTGCACACAGCATAGCCACGCTCTTGAGCACAGTCAGCACAACCTCAGCCGTGGTAGTATTCCTGGACCTGGAAAAGGCCTATGAACTAGCAAGCCCTCTTGCTATTCAGGAGGCCCTGGCCCAGAAGGGAATCAGAGGAAAGCTCTTGGCTTGGAGAGGTGACTACTTTAGGAACAGAACAGCCAGAGTGAAGTTCCAGGGTCACCTATCGCAGCACTTGCCACTGGAAAATGGGACACCACAGGGTGGGGTTCTCAGTCCAACCCTATTCAACATACTCATGTCCTGTATCCTCAACATGAACCTCCCGACGGGGTGCAAGATCGTCTCATATGCAGACGATCTTGCCATCACCGCCATTGGGACACAATGCCTAAGTAAAGCCCAGCGTTGTCTGGACCTTGTGTCTGAGGAGTGTTGCAAGACAGGACTTAAGATCTCAGCAGCCAAATCTAAGGCCATGACTCTGGGAAAACGAGTTCAAGGCACTAGTCTGAGGATCCAGGGAGTAGACTTGGAATGGGTCCAGGTGTACCAATACCTTGGGGTGTGGGTAGACCGGACCCTCTCCTTCCGACAGGAGACCAAGTACCTGGTCGACCGATGCAAAGCAAGACTGAATGTCATGAGAGCAATGACTGGGAAACGCATAGGAGCCAGACACAAAGTACTAAGAGCCTTCTATGTACATGCTGTCAGGCCCATTGTGGATTACGCCTCAGTCGCCCTAATTGGCAGAAAGAAAAAATACAGAGAAAAATTGGACAGTCCAAAATGAAGCTGCTAGAATCATTCTGAGTGCCCCGAGGTGGTCAAAGCTCCCCAACCTCCTGATGGAGGCCAACCTTTTCCCTCTGGACTCACGAATCGATCAAATGGCAGCCAATTTCTTTGCAAAGGTCATCCAGGCTCCCAGGAACACGAGCCTAAGAGAAAAATTAGTCAGACGCCTGGAACAAGACAACGAGCTCTTTGCCAACAGCACGTGGCTGTCCCACACAGCCAGGGTGTTGATAAGCTTTGAACTCAAAGAGCAGCTCCTGACCAAGGGCATGG